TCAGCCAGGGTCAACCCACCACAAAAGGAAACCTGGAAAATGGGACTTGGAGGCAAGGAGAACTTTTAAAAAATCTAAACTATGAAGACTGTGGCAGAGAGAGGATTGAAAAGGAAAAATAAACGTGGGAAACCAGCCTGTGCTCCCACAGCTCATCCTCCTTCAGAACCTGAAGTTCTCTCACAGCATCTGTGAAACCCACTCACATAGCACCTCGTTCCTGGCCACAACTAATCTGCTCAGGGTTACAAACACCTTACATGATGTTACAAACAGATTTGTCACAGCTGTATCCCTTCCTCCCACAGATGGTGTTCAGAGTTTGAGGGCTGATGAGGAGAGACTAAGCATACTCAGAACTGTTCTCTAAAAATACCAAGTTCAGTATAATGCTAAATACTTTAAAAAAAAAAAATTGCTTCCAGTTATCTCAATTTGATAGTGGAAACCCTTGACCTTAATTTCTGTGCTCCAGCTTCCCTCTCCCTTGTGAAACAGAAATAAGACCATGCCTTTCATTTCCTAAGGAGCAAAAAAAAAAGTATTTGCAAAGTGCTCTGATATTATAGCAATGAAAGCCCTAAAAGCCCACAGGGATTCAATAATTCAATATTCAAAGTAGAGTTTGAATAATGTGTAGTAAATGAGGCTGAAGGCCATGTAGAACCAAGTGTTCTGAATGGTTGCTTATTAGGTAAGTTCCATCCAGCCCATGCACTGAGCGAGGCAGCACTCCTGAGGGAAAATAGTATATGATCATGTCATTTCATAGCTTACGATAATGCATAATAAAATCAAATTCAGATTGCAAAGAAACTCAAACTTTGAATGTTTGCCACTGCATAATGCCAATTCACTTTTCAAACTAATTTTATGTAGAAAAAGCAACCAGTTTGTTACCTGCAAGTCTGGTCTGCCTGGTCAAAGTTGTGATTTTTTTGGGGAAGAAAATGCTAACTGAAAAAAACCCACACCCAAAAAACCCAAAGCCAACACCACCAACAACTAAAACCAACAAAAAACCCATACCATGCTAACTTTAAAAAAGAAAAACAGCAAAAATAAAAAGCGCTTTGGTGGTCTAACATGATTAAGTCTGTCAACATCAACTAATGAGGTTGTCTTAATTTTCTGGTCATTTTGAACTGAATTTTAGACTAAATATTTTTGCATTCTTATATAAACGGGTATTAGAAAATAAATGTAGATGCATAGCACTAAGCACAGTGAAGAAACTGTTCCAACATAGCAACCAGTTATACAGAAAATACCTTGCAAATCAGAAAATATAATTTAGAGAATGCCCTTTCTTTCATGTCGCCTATTAGTTGTTGATACTGGGACAACACGTTAGTTAAACTTAATGTTTAATTTCATGTAACCATTGTTTCGTGTCCTTGCTTCAACTTCTGCAAGTTACTACTTGATAGGATTAGGAAGTTGCTACAAAACAAAAAAATTATTAATCTATTACTGTTCTCATTCAAAATCTTTGTCCCTTCTTTGGCTTCAGGTGGAGGCAAAACGACTCCAAATTCGTAGTCAGAGAATTATCATCAATGAATCATTGTCAAAACAGAGTGTAGTGTCAAATGGAATTCTATAATGATTTAACATGGCTCTAGAGCAGTGTTTTCATAATACCAACGAGGAAAAGATAGTATGCTTATTAATTTTCATACAATATCAGTGAAACCTGAGCTATTGGAAAGAGGGAATTACTTGGGTTGGTTTTATTAAAGATGAGCGAAAGCAGACACAGTGAACAAGAACTAAGGAACCAAACTTGCTATATTAAACAAAGCCTTTTTAGGAAATCCAAACGAGGTCATCTTTGAAAACTTCTACAATCCACTGAGTAACAGAAGAACAGCTCTTAAACTCACCTTGAATCCCACATGCTGCACAAATCCACTTTCTGCATGCATCTGCTGGAGTTTCTGTTTCTTCAATTTTTTAAACTCTAACAGTTCTTTGTATTCAGGTAACTCTCGATATGTTATTGGAATACTCTCTTCATCCTGTTCATGGTTTAAAAAAAAAGGGGGGGGACGACGACGACATTCTTTACTTTAGGCATATAATAACTAGCAAGACATATATTCCATAAATCACTATGTATGATTAATAATCGTTGAGAAAATGATGGCAATATATTCTAAGAAACATACTGGCAAATTATACTTAATAACATAGCACAAAACAGTGCATACAGCTAACTTACATTTTGTGTGTTTTATACTTTATTATTTGCATTAAAACAAATCATCCTACAAACAAGTTTCTACTGGTGAAGAGCTTAGCTGTAGTATAAAGGAAAGAGCAGTGCCTAACTAATTCCTGAGTTTTTTCTCATTTTAGATGCCTAACTGCAATTGCATTTAATCCACTTGTCCATACACTGTGGGCTAAATAGCAGCTGCAGTAGAAAACTTAGCTTTTATTTAAGAAAAAGCTAGTTTATTTTATTTCTAAATACTTGGCAACAGATAGTGTATTTGAGAACTGAAATTTCAGGTCAGTTTTATCAAGTTAACTGATCTTTCTCTTGACTATTCTGTGGAACAGTATGGAATAATGCTGTTCTAAGGACAGTTACAATCACTATTCTGAAGTACTTTCAAAGCTGTGAAAATATTAAAAACAAATGACACCCAAGAACTTTTTACAGTTTTAAGGATTTTTGCACACACTCAAGATTTTAAAAAGACCCATAAATCAAGACAGTACCAAGCTTCTGTTATATGTGTATTTTATTTGAAGACAGTCAATCTTAATAGTATTAACTTCTCACCTTTACCTGTAAGAATAAAAAGTGATGAGAAGCATCATTCTGTGACTGGAAGAGTAGACATTTCAGAGTCATCCAACTCCTTCATCCCTTTACTTCATGCTATCTCTTAATAGCTTAAGAAAACAGATTGCTATTTTTCCTAAATTATGAAAAAGTTTGTCTCCCTAAAGGCTGGTGCATACAACTTTGCCAGAGATTTACAACAAAATGGTTGTCTCTTTTTAAAGAAACAAACCATTGCTGGTTTTTCTCATCCAATTTTCTTCAACAAACGTTGAGGACCTCTATGTTACAAGAAGACAGAAGCTCTTATTTTAATTCAGACGCCCATTTCAAGATGGCTATTTAACTGTAGCAGCTGTACTTGGTAGATGTCAGCTGTTTTCAAAGATGACAAGTCTTTATTGATGTAGAGCAGTTTTCAGATCCTATACTGATAGGAACATTCAGTTATGGAAAACAACGACAAGACAGTAATCAAAATTCTTCTAATGTAGCCTACACACATAATTTCAATTTCACGAATACGTGAAGATTAAAGAATCTGTATTATTTAGTAAGTTTACTAAAGGAAATGAAGGGAAGAGGCTTGTTCTTTAGTGTTAAATTTCTAAAGGCCTTAATTATTTAATTGTAATTATGAACCTACATAAAGGACTAGACTGCAAACGTTCAGTAAAATCAAGGTTAAATGACATGATTAAATTGTGTGGTGATCAGCTACATTCTCTTAATATAAACAGGGATTCACTTTCCATGCAAATCTCAAAAATTTTTCTGAGAAAAATTGCCTGGCACAAAATAACTGTATACTGAATAAACTGTGCTATAATAGCTCCCTGTGTGGACACTTCATTCTGGAATAGTAAGTAGTTGTACTCTAGAATAAATAGACTACTCACAAAATGAAGTAATCATAACTGAAAAGTAAATTCACTCTGTTGGGAATAGAGAGTCTTCACTTGGGAACAACTCATTCAGACTAGAACATGTTTTCAGGTTATGCCAGTCAAGCTGACTAGTAATATCCAGGCAAAATCTTGTATCTTTACAAGGGAACAGCACCTGGTACTTCTGTTGTAAAGAACTCAAAGCAAAGCTTTCCTATAATTTTCTTGCTACACTCAATCTCTTCTCCACCATGCTGATGCAAAGTATTTTTCTCCAAGACAGTGACTGTCACCAAGAGACTTGACTTTTAGCATTAGAACAGAATCCTCCACATTCATTTTGAACATAGTTCGCAATCTCTTTCTTTCTTCCAAATCACTTCTATTTTGCACTGATAATGGGGATCTTTTTGGTAACTGAGCTCACCTGTGTCTTTCTACATTACTGCAAGCCAGAAATATATCCATCTGGAAATGCTGCACTAGTGAAGAAAGAAAAGACTAAGCCAATTTTTATTAATTTTTTTCCAAAAAAGGGTACAAGTCCACCATTATCACTGCAAAAAAGTGAAACAGCAACTTCTATCCAAATTAAAATAAATCCCAGTTGATTTATGGTGCCCATATCTATTAGAGGTAGGACACCATAGCAAAATCAAAATGTTTTAGGAAAATATTCAGAAGAGTTAGAAAATACATATTTAAAAACAATACAAAACAAAAGAATATTTGATCAAAATCAGTTCAATTGAGATGAATAATAGTAATCTGCATCTCTTCTAATATGCATTTTTCTTTCCAGGTCTTTTAAGGTTCTTATTGGAATAAGCAAAGTTATCAGGAACCAAAAGACCATCAAGAGAGAACACAAAACATGAGTGAAGATTGGATTTAAGACTGAGTAATAGATGAGCAAATTTAATAATTTAAGGAAGATTATGCAGTGCATGTAAAAAAGTCAGTAAAGAAAATGGTCTTAGTACTACTGTTATGCAGCAAGCTTTTTACACACAAGATGTCACTAGGCTCACAAAAAAAAATAAATTAACAAGTCAGGTTCTTCAGGCTAAGCACAGTAAAGCCACAGTGATTCAGACCAGCTGTGAATCTTGTCCAGCATCCTAGTGGTAGGATACAGTCCCTCTAGATGGAAGTAGGAAAGACATATGTCTAAATTCTTGTAGTAATATTTCATGTGACAAATTAGGAAAGTGGAACACTACATGATGTAATAATACATTGGGTTAGGATGTCTGCTAGAATTTCCCTCTAAACACAAATACATGTGCTTGATGACTGATGACTCAAGTCTGTTAGTTCATGCTTTGAAGTCGATTTTTAAAAAAAAAAAATCTGTAATTAATTCAGCCAGTGAAGGAAGACAAAAAGCAATGATGCCAACAGCATTCATATTTTACCAGGGCTCTAAGTAACTTTTCTACTACAACACATCTTTAACCAAAATCATAACTATACAGTTTATATGATTTTCAAACTGATCTCATGTCAGATTACTTTTTGAAAATATGCAACTAAAACTTTTTAGAGCTGTTTTGGGACAAAACTGTTTATTACTTCTTTTACGTACTCCCCTTCTGATTTGGTCTAAATTTTCTGCAATGGGAGGCCTTTATATTAATGATGTGTTTATAATTCAAAATTGCTCATGAATCTTACCACAATTTAATACTTACTTGATGATATTTATTTTGTGGCAAACATGCTTAATCCTCATACTATTCATTCAACAAAGTGAAAATGACAGTTAAGCAAGACATTCTCTTACTGATTTAAATGACATACCGATACTTCCTCTTCTGCTGCAGTATCCATATGGCTGTGAAAACTGGATCTGTCATCATCTTCATCCATATAAACTGGAGGTTCATGAGATGTCATGAAAGTCGAAGGTTTGAAAAGATGTTTATTTAAAGGATGCTGCCGTCTACTTGATGACTACAGTGAAAAAATGATATATTCTTAAAAAACATTCCTTGGTTATGATTTAAGTAATCCTCATTGATAAAACCTTGCCAGATATTTGCTCTTTTGCACTAAACAGTCTATTGTCTTTCCAGTCATTTTTACTTAAACCTCTCTATCAGAGCCTCTTACGGCTGGAGTTTTTCTCCCCCATAACACGCGAAGTCAGGTGAACAGTGCAACGCTTCTTTAGTAAGAACCCAGTAAGAAAGAGCCCGTACCATAAAAACACTTCCACCTAAATAAATGAGACTGGCAACAACAGAAAAACAGAAAATAAAGCTGTTACAATTTTGAAGACTCAGAACCAAACAGAAAAGATAATAAAAGATTTCCAAGAGTCATGAATAGTGTGAGACTAAACAAAGAAGTTTTGCATAGGTCCAAGATCCAAGAGACCAGTCCATGCTTGATGCTTTATCATCAACTTCTGCTATTAATCTGTGCCCTAGAATTTCTAAGTCTAAGCTAATTGTCCAGATTTCTTTCCTAGTCCAGGGAGAGAAAAGGCAATTCATTCCACCATAAAAGAGGTTTCTAAGAGTTAGAAAGAATTGCTCTCTGAAGGTTCTTTTTCATTGCCACTGACTGGAAAAGGAACCTAAAAATGTTAGATGAGATAAATTACTCCATTAGTGTATATCTAAAACCTTTCAACTTTAATGCTGTCTGAAGGTGTAGAATGCATGGCAGTTTTAAAATAGATTACTTCAAGGCACTCAGCCCCTATTACTTATTCCCCATGGAAGAATATTAAATATCAAAAAAGAAGAATTTAGGGTGAATGAAACTGACTCAACTTTTTACTTAGCTACTTTCCAGACCAGCATTTTGACATCTTAAATGCCAAATCTTACATTCCTCAATTTAAAGAAAACAATGTGAATCAAAAATGAGAACTATGAAAAGTGTTTTTTGTAATAATCGTAAAAGAGAGGATTGTTTTACACTGTGTCTAGCTTCTGTCATAGAGATAAAGCAGAAGGAATATTTACGATAGTTAATACTTTCTCTTTTTATGCAAGACTTTTTATCCCAAAGGTTTCTGTATCAGTTACAAACCTGTAACACTAGAATACAACCATTTATTCTCTAAAGAGGGATTCAACCTCTAAAGAAGGATTGAGCATTATTTTACAAAAAGTGAAGGCAAAGATCACACAAATTGTCTTACATGGAATGTAGCTATGCAGACAGAAGTATAACAAGGAACTGAGACTAGTTCCAGTCACTCTTAAGGAAAAAGATGACATCTGTAGTAACAATTGGAAGCTGGTACCTCAGATCTGCAGAACAACTACAGTGCATGCAATAAAAACGAACATTTTGTTCTAAGGCTAATGCACTATCCATCGTGTTGAATTTTTCCACCTTCTGCTTTACGATCACTGACTTCCTGTGTTTTCCTGTTTTTCTGGTTTCCTTCACGATTTCAAGCCCCCGCCCCTCAATATTTCCATTTATAAGGTTAGACAGTATTTCAGCTTGAGCTGACACAGTGATTTGAATTTTCTCTTAAGAGAAAACAGATCTGCACTCAATACTAGATCTGGAACTCAAGAAAGGGAAACTATGTCTACGCTTAAATAGCAGCACTGGTACGCACACAGTTATGACCTAGGAATTAACTGAGGATTTGAACTGTCTTTTTAACATGATTCTACTCTGGTGAAGAATGAACTAAAATACTACATAAAAGCAGACAGTTAAAAATCATTTTTCCTGTGGGAAATGTATCTTCTGGATTAAGCTTAAAAGCAGGTGCACTAATGATTATTATATAAGCATTAAATTGAAAATGGTAAGCCATAATTGAAGAACTGAATACTAGAGTCCTAAATCTCTGATTCAGTTTTATTTTCACCAGTAGTAGACAATGGTTACACAGGAAAAGAAACTGATGCATCCTGTTTAATTTCCTGTATCGCTTATCAGAAGAGACATTATGTGCTATGAGGAGATATACAGAGTAACTTCAACAAGTTGTTCAAGAACTAAACAGGCTTCTCACCTCCCCAGCAGCCATTTATAAAAAGCATCCTGGGCAATCCCCATGGAGAAATGCAAGTACTTTCTTATGAAGCATCCCTTTTGACACAATTATTTACATTAAATATATCTATGCTTTTTATTCTCCCATAGATACGTGCTTTAATTATCAGCATCCAATTTTCATACTTCTATTATTGGCAATAAAGCAGATACCACAGTTTATAGCATATGTACATAATCAATATCAAAATAAGGACGAGCACAGCATAAGCATGACCCAGGCTTCCAACGCCCCTTGCATTTCTTTTCTGCCACATTATGTTATCTCCATTGGAGACTTGGGAATAACTACAGCCTGGTACAGTGCTGTCAATCTGTGCTCTAAGTAGACAGCTATATTAGCAGACTGAGAGCTCAATTCCCCCGTATACATTATTTGTTTGATTTTTTTCATCTGCTGTATTTCTTATGTGGGATACAAATATAAAATGGAGACGCTACCTTGACACAAACCGGGGCACAATGACCGTACTCTTATGACTTGGTAATAAGGATGTGAAAACAGACGTATTACATTTGTTCTACATATAAGCCTAAGAAAAATCTGTAGGATAGTAGCATTACCATTGTAGTATTAGAATATTAAGAATTTTATAAAAAAGTATGTTTCACTCTTGGTTATGCTGTGTTTGTACGCACATCAGTGGGGTTAAAAAACTTTATGGATCACTGTTCAAATTAGTAAAAAATACGGTTACAATGTCACACATACTAATTCAGTATTGCTACTATTTATCAAATACAATGATCTGCTGCCTGGTAGCATTGCTCACATTCTGTAATAACAGTCTTGCCAAATAAAACAAAGAGGAAAGAAGAAAAGACATGTGACTAAGGTAATTTTAAATGGTAACGTGAAATAAAGAACTCAAAGGATTATAATTTTCAAAACTAAATTTTCAACCCCTTTTGAAATTAGTCCCACAGTATGGTAAACTGTATAAGTAATTTAGAGTTCTAACAGATGAATCTCACCACAGTATTTAAGGTATCAATGTTTCCAGCTGTTTTTTTGGTTCTTCTGCCAGAAAGCACTTTTCCAATAGACAAGGCAGCAGACAGAGTCATGCCTGCACCTTCCCTGCCTCTGTTTATAGAGCAGAATAGTAGATTAAAATCCTGGTGAAAGTAAAATGGCATTACCATCATGGATGGCAAACTGGAAAGCCTCTGATACGAGTATTCATTGTTTGCAGTAACTTCAGAGAATACTAGGAGACAACTGCAGGTGTGTAACATTTTAAATAATTAGAGACCAGCTGTAGCAGATCTTTCTATCAGGCCCCGCTGGCAGTAACTTTTGTTCCCCACCTTTTAAGGGACTAAATCTGCAAATCTGCATTTTTGCAGAATCAATGTAAGACTTACTCTATGCTTAATGAGCAAACATCATGGACAGCTGGATGCAAAAAAGTAATATTACTCTACGAAATGCCACTTTAACAAGTTTTAAAGAACTTTTGTAAAAACAATGGTAACAAAAAAACCCAAAACCAACAAACAAAACCCCCACAAAACCTGAGACTGCCCTCTTCAAATGCCTAGGGTCCTCATTAGTACCCAAGAGTACTACATCATTTAAATCAAAATATATGACTGGTCAGCATAGAAATCTAGTCTCGTCTTTTGCAAATTAAGAAGATTTCTCAGGACCATATTCTTTTCTCATCCATTCCAAAATGAGGAAAAGCACTGTATTTTAATGGTCATTTATATGACCATTCTACTTTAATGGTCCTACGTGTTGCCAATCAAGATAAAACATGATGTTTCAGTCTTAAGCCTATGCTTGTGCTAGTTCAGTATGCTCAGTTATACATAATTTTCTTTGGTTTCCTTAAGATGAAAGTACAACATGAATTATAGAGCTCCTTATCCTCTTCCAACAGGGTTCTGATTATCCTCTTCTAGGTCAATTACAGTAAACTTACACATGAGGAAAAAGTACCCCAGGACCAATCATTCAACCCTGTTGGATCAGCCTGCAATCTGACTGCTATGTTCTCTTTTCTGACACTTCATGTCCCTGAGATTATCCGAGAGAGATGTAATAAACAGATGTTGATGTGAAATTAGAATAACACCCAGCTCACTATATAGTGCTAATAAAGTAATCTTTTTCTTTTGTCATTAATACATGCAAGGTCGAACTACTAAGAAAGCACTAATCAAGACTTAAATCTATTGAAAATATTAATTCTTTAGACTCAATTTGTATGTAAATTCAAACAGAAATACAGGATTTCTGCTGTAATATTGTCTCACCTTTTTGGAGTATAAATATAAGTTCGGAGTTCTTCCCGGAACCGGAATGCCAGCTTTAGTAAGTTTAATAAAATACTTTTGCACTCTACTGGCAACCTAGAAAAAATAACATATGACAATTAAACGTCAAATGAAACATAACAGGCCCTCACTTCAATGTTTTGCCAGCACTGCTACATTAGTTCAGAATATAAGGACAGAAAATCCTCATTTTCTACTTTGTGACAACTACTGTAAGCATCACCTGTCTTGCAATGCTGCACTTGTACTATTTCTAGATACTTTGAAGGCTTTCAGAGAAAAAAACTACCATTGTTTAAAAGTACACAGGAAATCCAGAAAAATTGTGATAGAAAGGAAAGAATTTTAGTAGTTTGTTATCTGCTGAAGCTAAACTTATTCCTTCTTAACAACAACAGATAAATGATGCATAGTTAGCATACAGAAAGTACTTATACATTTCATTTATGAAACAACTAAGCACATATTTTAATTTTTTCAGTTATGGAGACATATAAGTATAGATATGATCAGAGATGAGGTATACTGAAATATTAAATATACTTTTAGCTGAAAGCATACAATTGAAATAAAAGAAATTAAAATACTGTAAGCACAGAACATCAGCGTTTTTTGCTTCTGGTCAAAGTGGAGAATTTTAGGGGGAAAACCCCAACAAGTCAGGTGCAGAAACACTCGGTGTATCCATATCTGTGTCCTTTTGTGGATCTTGGCCCCAGCAGAGAACTAATTCTTCTATCTGCGAATATCGACATGTCTGCTCATTCTATAGTATTGAGGTGTAGGAAATTCAGCACTCCAGTGTAACTCAATCTGAGAACAGTTGGTGTCACTATACTTCCTACATAGAATTAAATGCATGCTGTCAAAATCTAACAAACAACTAGGTCTGGCAGCTTTGTCGCGGGCTTTGGGGCACTTTTAAAATTCTATACTTGAGACCAGGAATAAGAGACACTGTTATTACTGAAATGCAGGCCCTGCTGTTACATTTTTAAGAAAAAGTGATTACTGAAAAGATACTGGATTGTATTTGTTGCTATTTCAGGGGAGAGATTAAAAAAAAAAAAAAAAAAAAAAAAAAGAGTCAAGGAAAGGGATTACTTCTCAAAGTGTTTCAGTTGTTACCTGCTTTGCTGTTCTATTCCCCAGTTCATCAGCTATCTTCTGCCACCGTCGGGACTCTACTTCTTCTGGTGGATACTTCAAAAGCAATTGCTCAAGTTTTTTCTAAATCAACAGGGACAAAAAAATAAATACATTATTCCTAGTATAGGTATAAGTTGTCAAAAGATGAGCATCTGCACACGTGACTGAACTTCTAAGTGCTTTAAACATTGTTACACAATTTGCTTTTATTCTCATGTATGTTACCACAGCTACAAGACGGAAGAGTTTCCAATTACCTGTTCCTCTACAGTCCACAGCTGGTTAAAAGTTTCAGGTTTGGTCTCGTCACAAAGTCGCCCTCTTATCATCTGCTCAAATACAGCATATAAAATGGAATATGTGTTTAGAAAAAGTGCAGTTAGAACTTGATTTTAACCCTTTTCCTACCTAAGTAAAACCAAAACCAAACCAAATAAACACATGAAAACTTGAAATAAAATTTGCCTAAACAAAAAATAAGTTCTCTGTTTTAAGTACATGAATGAAATGTCATCACCAACATTAACATCTCAAGTAACAGTTAAGGTTATCCACATATCCAGATTAAAAAAGAAAAAAAGGTACTATTTTGTAAAATTTTATCTTTCCTCTTCTAACAACTACCTGTGGACGACTGTTTGTAGAACCTTCTGGACCATCACTTAAAGGCAAGACAGAGTATGAAATAGACTCTCCGTCCTTCTTGGGATCCAAAGGACTTTTTGGTCTTGCAGGTATACCTACTGTAAGCAACACAAAAAAGGAATTATTAAACCTCCACACTGGTCATATCTTTCTTGCAACGTATGCCAACTTTCCTTTTACCTTTATCAAAAATGAGCTTCACTCTCCTACTGTTACGTTTTCGGTTTTTGAATTCTCTCTCAAAGTTTCCAAGGCTAGTGGTGTATTGGTCCCAGGCAATCTCAGGGAGCTGAACAACTCTCTGAGGATATGGAAGGGGGGGGGGGGGGGGGGGAAAAAAGTTGAAAAGTGAAAAGCAGTATTTAACACAATCACCGTATATCCAAACAAAAATCTATGAATCCTGAAAAGTTATGAAAACCTGCTACTGCTTTTTAGCTAACAGCAGAATTCAAAATCAGAAATTTTAAAGTGCCATGCAGCACACAGTCTTTTTAAGGAGAAGACATCTTTCAAGAATAATACACAACAGTGCATATAAAATATGCAGCGGCACGGTCAATGATGGCTTATTGAGCATAAAACTTTAAAGAGTCTATTTCACAGCTGAAATCAAGTGTATCTGATTTCTCTATCCTGTTACTGTCTATCTCTCTTTTAATTTTTGTTTCAATATACTGTTTGCCCAGCATCTGTATCTTTCTTAACACAGGAAACTATAGGACTTGGAGTTTTATCATCTGATAAACTCCTTCCATCAAGGAAACCAATGTATATTTTACACTGATTTTGCTGTTTTCTGCCTAGAATACAACTGTTGCAAAGCTCACCGCTTTATTTAAAGGTCAACCTTAAGGGTATCATTCGTTTGGTTTGGAGACAAAAATACACCTGATACTTTCAATTAGCATTAGTTTTTCCCCATACAATGATTATCAAATACAATACTATTACATCATGCATGCTATTAACTCATCTCAAAATTTAATGGAAAGACAACTACTGAAACCAATGGGCTTACATCAGACCTCTATTTAAACCTAGGTCTCTACAAACCTAGGAAAAGAGCACCATAAAATACCTACTTCATTCTTCACTGAAATACAACATATTGCTACCATACTAGAAGGTCAAGTGTGTTTGTCACTGGTAAATGTGGCAGTGAGAACGTATTCAAGCTTTAAACATTTTTTTTCCAGTATCCCTGTTACTACACTTTTTTTTTTTAAAGCTTGAAAATGTTTCCTTATCAAAATTAATTCTCCTCCATGAGACAATATTCTATTATGTTATCCAGAACTCAGGTATGTTTTCTAGTGTTAATTTTGGTTTTAGGCTATGAACTACATTTCCTGGTCTTTAAAAAGTACCCTACCAAATTCACTCATAGCACGACGTTTAATTTCTCTCATGAGAAAAGTTATGAATTCTTGATCTGATGCGTTACTATGAAGTACTTCGAGTCACCTGTAGATTTCAGGTTCTCTTTAAATACCTATATTACAATTAGAAATTTAAAGATTATATTTCTACATACCAAAAAAAAAAGAAAGCAAGCATATATAATAAAATAATTTAAGACCTATGTCTTACAGATTTAATGAGCAAAGGGCCATTTTTGCTTAGCAAAAAAAGGTTTTTAAACTCATAATGTTCACACAAGTGTATATAAATATATAAAAAAATTCTCTGATTTCTATAGATGATGAATTGCTACTTATTTAAAAAAAAAAAAATCCGAGTAAGACTTAAGAAAAGCCCATTGAAATACCTTCTTCTGGAGTCTTTCCACAAATCCAATAGGATCTTTCAGTGCTTCTCTCTGGTGTCTGCCTAAACTTTCAAGGTCTTGAACTGCTTGAGTACGTTGAGCCTCGAGTACAGCAATCGTCTGTAACAGTCTCTGATAACTACAGAGACAAAGGAAAACATCTCACTAAATTTGTCTTTGAAAGTGACACCTCCCCCATCTAAATACTAGCCATGATTATCTACTAGTATCTACAGATTTCATAGCTTATCTGAAACAGTTCAAAGACATTTTGACTGAATTATATCAAAAATTATATCAAATCTATTTTAAATAGTAAATGAATTTATATAAACGCATGAGGAAAAAAAAATTAACTCCCACCTCCCCCCCAGTGATTTCCTTCAAATACAAATTCTACACTAGCTAAAACAATATAGTATCAGGGACAACCTATTCATATTCTCAATAGCTATGACCAACAAGCTTTGCTCACAAAGTTTAAAAAACCACGAACGAAATGACCCAATTTCTCTTCCACTTCAAAATCAGCTTCCTTCTACCCCAATATATATGAGACTACCACAGAATTTAACATTTTGCTCAACCACCCACAGAGTGGACAGGAATGACCTAGAAACTGTATCTAAACATTTCATATAAGCCTCACTTGAAAGCAGAATCATTTATGAAATATAACTATAAAACAATGAATAAGTAATTTGCAAAATAAATACATACAAAAGAGATTCCTCTAAGAATACAGAAGCTGACTGAAAATATCAGTGTTCCCTCAAACCTGCCATCCCAGATTTGACATATAATTTTGATTGTCTAACAGACACATTTGTATCTGTTGTACCTGTACCCAATAACATACGCTTCCCAAACTGTTTTCTATAAAGCTAACTCAGAGTCAGGAAATCACACAATATTATAATATAGCCTTTAAAAAACAGGTAACTACATGTAATACTTTTTATTAGCTTTATAGTTAAAGTTGTCCACTTCAGTTTCTGAATCATGTAGTTACCCATGGCCCCTGCTGTTGCAAATTATTACATATCAACTTAACCTTTTTCATGAAAATGTTTTCTGACATTTAATATTACACTTGTATTTTAGTTCAGCACAAAATGCAACCTAATGTATACTAAAATCAGGTAAGATGTACTCACTACTACACATTTCACTATTCCCTCCTTGCTAAAACAAAGACAAGCTTAACACGATGAATTCCACATGTATTACTGAAAAGATCCAGAGGTTACTGAGCTAATGCAAGTTTTTCAATTGACTGCACTGGTAATTGGGTAAGGCTTTAAGTGGAGGGAAGTAAACAGCCTTGAGGCAAAATACAGGCTTCATACCATCAAATATTTAAGTTTATACCTAGACATTAAACTGCTGCCTCCCCAAGAAAAAGGGTTGTTTTCTTTCCACTCAAATGTAATATTTGCAAATATAAAATAGAGCCATCCATTATGAAGTTTGAAAGTAAAATAATGAGCTTGTTTAAAAACAGTAGGATACAATTCTGTTGTGAATTTATTATTCTTTAAATTGGTCTGCACATACTCAGGTTTATATGCAACTAAGACCTAAAATGCTTGTTAAATAGGCTGTTAATACTGGAACAGTAGTGGAATATTTTCACTACTGGAAAAGTGCTCCAGCTGCTTCTAAACAAAATAACTTTGCATAAAGCATGATAATTAATGGGGCTATTCTTGAACAGGCAAAAACAAACTTCAGAAATAGCTTACAAAACTAGTGACAGCATATCAAAATTGGCCTGAGACCATACAGTAGTTCAGACTGTTACAGGCTTACAGGAATCATCATATGCGGAATTCAGATCTTTACTTAGTTTTTACAAATAGCATCTGATTACTGCCTAGCTTTGTGCTGGGCAACCTCTGCCCATGCTCAGGTGGACTGACAGCACTTCTTACACAGAAGTCTGCCTTGCATGCTCCAGAGCAACGAAACATAGGCAGGCTGCTAAAGTGTTTGACGTAGGTGCAGCTGTAACAACCCAGAAAAGCTTAATGATATCTGGGGAGATGATTTAACCTGCACAACAGAAAGCCTTTTTCTATGAATAGACGCCAAACTTCTCTACAAGACCCTGGAGTTAACTCTAGTCACAGTAACAGAGGCTCAGTAGCATACACACATACACAAAAATTTGCATCTAAGATGATGTTAAATAAATACCTGACTTTCTTTTCTTGAGCCGTTTTACCTCATTTATTCAAATTGCATTTAAGTGATTGCTTTTCCAAATGAAATTGAAAGAAAATAATAACTTCATTTTAAAAATTTACATATATAGAAGAAAAAAAGCAACCAAATGTTGGCAATTAGATGAAGTGCTAATTTAACTATGATTCACATGTGTAAAGTGGGGGAAGAAATCATCTTAATGAGGTGGCCTTAAATAATTAAGTCTGAATGGAAAGAGAAGAAATTACATTTGGGGAGAAATAGCAAACAAAACAAGAATATTAAACTCCGATTATTTCCCTCACTAAAATATTCATGTGACCTCACTGAAGTGATCACAGACTTGAAGATAAATGATTCAGAAACACTACCTCCAGTCTTCATGGAAATATAGAAAATATTACAAGAATGTCACAATCATTCAAAATCATGTCATGTGATGTTGATCTGTAGCTATAAAGCACTATTATCATGAAATAATTCAAGAGAGAAAAAGGGGGTTTTCAGCAAACTGTTCAGACAAAAAGATTTCCTGGCAATTTTTGTACCTCTGCTAAAGAAATGTATTAACTTGGAGCTATTTACTTTAACTACTATATTCAGATTTTATGACTGAATATATGCTGAAGCCCAGAAATAAGAGTGCAATGTTATCAAGTGAGTATCAGAAGTACTGAAATGCATGAAAATGTGCTTTTTGGGGTCTGTCTTTGCCAAGAAAAAATTGAAAATACTAATACTGAAATACATAGTTTGCATATTCCATATTCCGGTACTTCCCATTTGCTGCAGTAATACATTATCTCTAAACTGCTGCACCTCCTTTTAAATTCCAACAAGACTTTTTAACCAAGCGTATTGTAATAAGTCTGTATAAGCTCTTTTAAGTTTTGAACCACTACTGTTTTCACAGGTTTGTACAGGCTTTTATTATAGTCACATTGGGCTGGAGAACTGAAGTCAAGTATTGCTCTGAAAAAGCAGTAAGCCAAATAACAATGCACATGTTGAGCACTTTCTCAAAGTCTTTTCTCTGTCTGTTCTGGCGGCTTAGTCTCAAACACACACATAATACTTCTGCTGCATTAAGTGACAGACAGTGTGCACATAATTTCCAAGACTTTTTAAAAAAAAAATTAAAAAAAATGCGGCTAACAATTTTACTATCCATCTTCCAAAGTTCGTTGTAAATAAGTGCAACAATTATGATTTACACTACCTCCTGCACTTGTGCTAATGTTCTCCAAAACTGAAAAAGCCTAATGAAGGTAAAGAGAAAGTAACTGGATCCTTGCTCACTAGTCCGCTGCAAAACTGGCTCCATCCTTCAATGAGGCAATCAAAGAGCAACAATCTCTAAATTATCTAGCTCCAGTTACATAATTTTCTCTGAAAGATCTGAGGAATTACCAAGGAAAGTTATCTCACATCCTCTGCCAAAACAAAACATACAACTAAAAATGCATAATTGGAGCAAACTCACAGTCAGTCAGATCCCCTACACCAACTGAAGTTACACTTTTCTCAGTTCTAATTACTAAATTGTTAGCACATACAAAACCCAAAGCAGTTTTCTTTGTAGTAAAACTTTCATTCTACAGAATGTAATTCTGTGTTTTCCACAATCTCAGTATTGAAACACTGTCGTAACTTCTTAAATCATGTTAAGTGCCAGGAATCTTCCAGATGAACACCTGAATAATTCAGTATACTATAGAAACAATTTCAGTATCTCTATGCTGAAAAACCTTGATTAAAATGGGTTTTTGAGGGACTAATATTTTAAAAAGGAAAGCCACTTCTTAGAGATTGACACTGATCAGCAGGTGATTCAGTTGTTCTGCCGCAGTGATAACTTCCACTCTTTTGGATTGCTCCATTAAATAATTATCACATAGCAGAGCCATAATTCTGGAAGTCCTGCCATAAGCAATTAGTTATTACAGTATTCATTTCCATGAACTTTGTTTTAACAGTGATTAGGGAGACAGCAGCCTCCTCTCTTGTATATTATAAAGGTTGAAAATAGCGTAGCTACTAACTTAATGAGACTTAATTTCCATTTGATCCAGTTTTCTGAGATCTACTTTCAAGATGGTTTCTTTGCCCCATTCCTTCCATCCTGTGATAACACTATTTACATTTCCAGATCGAAGTACACAGAGTAACATCACAGGTTTTCTTTGCATCAGGAACCAACAACGACCTTTAGAAAGCACTATATACATTTGGAGTCAATTTGACTTAAGAATAGCACATTTCTTAAGTTTACTCTTATTTTTTATACTACATGACTTAACACTAGCCTGGACAAGAGGCCATATCATTCAGCATTTTTAAATAAATTCATTTCAATACATTCTCATACAGAAAAGACTGTACTGTACTTTAAACCTTCAGTGAAAGAGTGATGCGAGAAACTTGATACGACAAAATGAAGATTTTAACTTTTAGGTAGCTAATTCAAATTAGTGGATGGAATAAAATAAGTGAAGCTTTTCAGTTAAATTGCAGTAATAAATGTGAAGCATCAGCTTTGTCCTGTTGAACAATGTAAGGGGCAGACGTAAAAGTGGCTGTTGGTAACATTCACGAAACACCACAAAAATGTCAAGCCTCCTCTAAAAACAAGCCCCCTACAAAGTCTTAATGCTCAAACATTTAAGAACACATGAGAAATTTCTCTGCCGCTGGTCTTATCCATAAAACAAAGAAGAATTTTCATCTTAAGTATCTTTATCCAAAGTAAACTTACACACAAACTTGAAATTAGCAAGAGGTATATCAAAACACTACAATGTACCAGTTGTTGGACTTGCCTTATCTAATATTAACCCATAATTACAATGCATTTCCTCACCTTTTAAGCTAGAGACTTAGAAACAGCAGTATTACTACTCTCCCCTCAAATGAAAATAAATGGAAGGAGGT